TGTTTGCAAATGGAAGTACATTTGATTTGAAACTTCTCAAAGTGGAGGAATTTCAAGAGATTGCTTAATTTTATAAAGGGTTTGTGCACACACATGCATGCACGCACACATTTTTTTGGCAAGTTCTGAGCTGTCTCCATATTCCATCTGGCAGGGTTCAAGCCATGATCCTTTTTTTTTCTTTTTTTTTTTTTTTTTTTTTTGTTGCTTAAATTAAGGAGGGAATGACTTTTTGCCTGCGCGGTCTTCCCTCACGGCCATCTCTTTTCCTTCTCCTACCCCCCCTTTTCTCTTCCCCACCTCCCGAAAGGATGGGTCCTGCTGGTGAGCGGTTGGGGGGGGGGGGGGCCCGAAATTGGTGGTTTTGAAGCGTAAATAAGATGTGATTTGTGCTGCAGGGGAGCATCGGGAGGTGCTCGTGATTTATGGGTACCCCGGGGGGTTTTCAGACTCTGGCTGCAAACAACTTGCCTAAAGAAGTGACCCTGTTTATTATAATCTTTAAAAAAAAACACAAAACCAGCCCGGCAGCACCCTAAGGAAAAAAAAAGGGGGGACTTGGGGTTCAAGGGTGTGCTTGTTGCTTCAAGCAATCCGGCTGCTCCTCCGTGTTCCCAGTCTGTGTCTGTGACCGGGGAAAATGGACCCGTTAGTGTCAGGTTTTATTTCATTTCTAAATCTTTCTGTTATCCTTGCAGACAGAATGGTACCAGCAAAGAACTTGACAGGCTGTGTGCTCTGTTTCGGGTTTTTCTGTGTTTTTCCTCTTAACGTGCAGTAATACCCTGGTGAAGAACCATTAGTCAGAATAACATTTTCCAGCCTTCCTTTGTGTCAGTTGCAGTCAGTTTCTTCTCCTGTTTGGGCCTTTTTATGCAGCAACAGACAAAAGAAACATTAAAAATTAATGATTATGTTCCTCAACAGTCTGTAGACTGAAGGGGTGGTTGCAAGTAGTCTATTTTGACTTGGTTTGAATTCCATTTTTACAAAAACATGGTTGTCTTAACAAAAAAAACCTTCTGTAAATTAATAATTATAACAAATACTAAAAATCCTACATACTTCCTCCTTTGAGTAGCTATCCTTAATCAACTTGTCCATATTAGGACTTTCTGAAGTTTATATAAATTTTGAAAATTTCTTCCTAGTGTTTGCTAAAAAAAAATTAATCTGTTAACATGAGGTGGTATTAGTATCTTAAACAGAAAGTGAAAAGTGGTTAATTTTTTTGTTTAGCTGGAAGAGTGGGATTACCCCAGTCATTTTCTTTTTAAAGTTCTTGTGCTTGAGTAGCTTGCCGTAGTTCTGTGGGAGATTTCACATCCTCTGGGATTTCAGAAACTAAAGAAAATGCTCCTTAAACTGGAAGCGAAGAGCATTTGAAAAGTAAAGTTTTGTTAATCCTAAAAAGATACAGGTTTGGGGATGCAAACGTAGGCTTGTGCTGATTTAGCAGCAAATCTGAGTGTTAGTCTACTTAAAGAATTCTCCATGGGGTTTATCCATAGGGGGGCTTTCCTGGCTGCAGCCTCCTGTAAATGTAGGACACCAGGGCAGAAACTTGCTGTGCAACAGCTTGTAGGTGGGTCAAGAGCTGGTGGGATTCTCTGCTGTACACTGATACTTGGGCAGAAATATCCCATGGGGAGTTCTTCTGGATTTGCACGCTCAGTGTCAGGAACCCGGCTGATGTTAGGCAGAGGGTGGATTTTTGCTGGTGCAGTGTGCTTTTGCCCTCTGCTGTGCTCTCCCCCCCCGCCCCTAGATGAAGATCTGTATCTTAAAGCCCGATGTCAAATTTTGTTTAGTTTTCTGGATTTATTTGCATGGGACGCGAGTTGTTGGAAGACGTTTTCTGGCTTGGAAACAGCTGACAAATGTGGAAAAGTGACTTAGTTTTCTCATGCTTCCTGAGTAATCCCAAAAGGAGTTTCACCCTCATGTAGTTTTTGTAAGATATTGGAACATTTCACTCCGTAAAAGGATAGGTACAGAAGTACTTCAGGCTCATCGCTAATTTCCGTGGCTGTTTGAGGATGGAAGGAAGCAAATAGGTACCTTTGTTTTCCTTATTAATGCACGCATCTCATAACTTTTCTTTCTCTGTTTTTATTTAGCATACGGATTAACTGACCCCTTTGACAAGTTTATGGAGCTGCCATCTCTCTGCTTGCTGTGCTTTCCATTTCTGAAAGGAGAAAGTGGTGTATGAGATTAGAGGAAAATGCCTCGGACAAAGCAGATACATCCCAGAAATCTGAGAGGTATGTAGCTCTCAGCTGAGAAAGAAAAGCTCTTGGGAAACTCGGTTGCAGTTCCAATTACAAGGTTAAAGGAACACGTATTTAAGAAGTCTGTTTTGATCCAAAAATAGTTTGCAAGCAAGTTTGGGAGTCGTCCGCGAGACAGCTCTAATTTTGAGAGAAATAAGTGGAATCTGTTCTTATTCCTGCAGTCTGTGTGCTTGACAGCATTCTTGCTATCCTCCAGCTTACAGCAATAACCAGCCTGAACTTTGGAAAGGCGAAGGAAGACGTAGTTTTCTTACCAGAGGAAATACAGTTGAAATGCACGGGGAGGTGGGAAACGCGTGTCAGGTAGAAGCAGCACGAGCTCTGACAGCCGGTAGTTGTTTTTCTTCATAGTAATCAGCCTGGCTTGCTTTTGAGGGGATCAGGCTCTCCTCCCGTGCGTGCCTCCTCGTTATTTATCATCTGCCACCCACACGAGGTTTGACCTTGGTCTCCTTGCCGCCTTGTGCCTTCGCCCAGCCAAGTGGTGGCTCGTTGGCTATGGAAAAGCAAGGGTCCTGCCCCACAAATTGGCAAGTTTATGTGTCCAGGCATTTCCTTGGAGCAAAATCCCAGTGCGCTTAAGCGGGACTGGCAGATGAATGTGAGGAATCTGATGCCATGGTTATTTGTTACTGTCTTGGTAGAAGTGGTCCCAGAGGAATTAAATGAGGGGAGGGGGGGAGAAAAGAGAGGTCGGTTGATGAGCAGATGTGTATGTGGAGGGAGGACACGCTGCTATCCCCACCCTCGTGGGCAGCTTTTGGGAGAACATGCTTCCACCTGCGCCCTCACGTGTAGCTGTCATCAGCTTTTTGGTTTTTTTGTTGGTTTTTTTTTAATGTGAATTATACAGTTGCAGTATGGAAGCATCCCTTCAGAGAATAAAAGTAATTACAAAACCACAAACGTCAACATGAAGTTTTAAGGGCAGGAAAACACAGCGTTTGATTCCGTTCTCAACTTTTTTACGCTAGAACCCAGCAAACCCCCGCGTGTGTTTCAGTTAGTTTACGGTTGGAGAGGCTCTCCAGGGCTAGTGCATACAGCTGTATCTCAGACCTCGTGTTTGCGGGCTGTTATCACTGCTACCACTAACAGTCTCCGCTGGAGAAGACATTTTTTTTGCAGTGTTTTTATTCAGGAAGTGCATTGTTTGGTGTGATGATAAGCCTCCATCGCAGATCAAGGAATTTCACATTTAGGTGATGCCGTTTCCCCTTCTTACTGAACGCGAAGCAAGAAATTAGAGCCCAGTTTTTGAATTTTGCTGCTTACCAAGTTGCTGACATAGCTGAGCTTGTGTTTTCTGACCAAATGTGACAGTGATCTACTTTTAGTACTCTTGTCTGGTATCTATTCTTGTATTGCTTGAAATAGGAGCTAAGTCTATTGTAAAGCTTTCTACTCACTTAAATAAATGCATTTAAAATAAATAATCTAATTAAACTCCTAATTGTGTAAGAAATTAATTGTTTTTTTTTTTCTTTGCGTAATTTCCCCAGTCATTTAGCTTTTATCACCCCCTGTAATAGCAGTTTTCATCAGTTCATACTTTTCCACAACTAATGGAGTTCTTGAATGAAGTTAGATGGGTTAAATGTTGAAATGGGAGAGAGGTGTACAGCAAACCCATAATTCAAAATGACATTGGAATGGTTAAATGATTGTTAAAACCACCCAGGTGCTGCAAACTTCAGCATGTTGTGAGCATGTATTGCTACTATCATGGGTTTTTAGAGGTGAAGTGATTTGAAAAATCAGTTTACTTGCAATTAGTGATGCCCTATTTCCATTTTTAGTCTAGATAATGAGGAAAACTGGATTTCAGTTTCTTTAGTCATTTTATCAGTCTCTGAGAATATTGCAGAAAATATTTGCTTAAACCTTCAGTTTTTGCTGGAACTTGAGGAGGCTGAAAGATTTCACAGGTCTGTTTGCTGACAGCTTATGTTTATGTATGCGAAGTTAGACCCCATCTTGAGTTGACACTCTTAACCATGAAACCTTTAAAAACAGTGTTTTTTAACACTGTGGTTTAATCCATGGTAATTAGTACCGATAAGTGAATCTGCAGAAAGAATAAATGTAGCAAACTCCTTTTATGTTTTATAACTTTTGGAAGACAAAGATTTAAGATTAAGTAGCCTGTATTTGTAAGCAAAAAGGTTTTTTTGAGTTGCCTGAACCGATTACCTTTTGTACTATGTACAAAGAACAGTCCGTGGCCTTACCTGGCTTCTCCCTCCCTTGTACCAGCTCCTCTCATTGCCCCATAGTGATCAAGTCACCAACAGCTTTTAAGGGGACTTCTCCAGGTCCCATCAATGTTTAACTTTTTTGAGAGATCACTGTTGAACAACCCTGGACACTCTCTATCCGGTTGTGCATCGGATGAGTTACTTGGGTTGCACTTGCAGTCCAAGTTCAGCCTGGAGAATAAACAACCAAGTCCAAGAACCTAAAGCCTTTTCACCCCAAACAAAAAACCCACCCCAACACAATCCCTCTCTCCCTCCCCGCCAAAAAAACACACAGAAAAAAACCCACCATAAACACCCCTACCCCCAAACACAATTTGAGGTTTGCTGCAGCACAGGAGTAAGTTTTGAAGGTTTTAATATTGCCTCTGTTTACTGTAAGCAACCTTACTGTCTGGGGAAAATGGAGTGGCATTGTTTAATATAGAGAGCTAAATTTAAGATTTTGGCAGGAAACCTTAAGGCTCTTCTTTTTTGTGCCATGGCTTGATTTTACTCATTTTGTATGCCTCTGAGAGAACTGACAGCCTTTGGCAGATTAGCAGTGGCCCTGAAGTATCAGGATCAGTGGAAATCAAATTTATTTTTTGTGGGGTTTTTTGGTGTGCTGAAGTCCTCTCTCCTGTCTTTTTCACTGTCCTCTCTCCCTTCTCTTTCACTGTCTTTTTATAGATGAGTAAATATAGTGCTATATTAACCTGATTTTACGGCAGGAAAGAAAACCCAAACAAACCCTGTATCAAGAGGGCAGGATATGGGGAGCATTATTTTACAAATAGAAGTAAATTAAATTTGTTGACCATTTGTTTTCATGATTGTGTGTTCGCGACACGGTGTTAGTGCCTGACTGTGGTGGAATGAGCATGTTGTATCTGAAGGGTACCAGTAAGGTGTCTGCTGTCCCGTGCTGGTTTCGTGATGTTGTTTAGTCACATCAGCTTTCTCTGCTTCTGTGTCCTTACATGAAAAGTGTTACCATCACCAGCGGGGCTGCTTTGGTATGAGGAGCTGTGTACAGTGTCAGGCTTGGTCTCCTGGCCAACCTAGCAGTGGTGGTCAGCCCTAGTGGGAGGGCTAAAATTTGAGAGAAATTACAGTTTTGCATGTCTCAAAAGGATGTAGTTTGGATGCACGTGTGTTCCAAAAAAATGAGTAGTAGTGGTGGAGGTAGAGGCCAAAGGGACACCTCGGAAAAGCCTGGCGTGGGTTACCTGTTGGCTGTGTGACTGAGTTTCTAAGCAAATGTTCCTGATGTTGTCTCAGTCTCTTAAATATCAAAGACAGGTATCATGTGGCTAATCAGAAGCACCATCGCTCCCCTCCCTCCCCGCCGAAAATAAGTGCTGTGAAAGAGGAAAACACTTGTTATTGAGAACATCCAGAGGTCGCCTTGTCTTAACGTATTTTATTTGTTGTATGAAGTTTTAGCTGACTAAGACTAGTGGAAGGACTGCTTTGCATGTGGTTGCACCCTGTATTTACATGGCCAATTGATACACAGGTGTAACAGAACATTTCGTAGAAGCTGTAATGTATTCCCAGAAGCACAGTCACTTCAGAGAATCATGCTTTTAGCAGGGCTGAGTAGGCTTGGTTTGTTGTCGGACGGTGGTGAGGATGTAGAAGGAAAAACAGCTCATGTTTTTGTTTACTTACAAGTAAGTTTTGTTTACTTACAAATGAAGGCTCATTTATTATGTGTACAGTGTTTAGCACTGTGCTCTGATTCACCAATACAAAACCGTAGCAGAAATATTTTGAACTTCGTCTCTTTCTAGATAAGCTTTCTGTTATTGTTACCCAGTTGCAGAGTTTGAAATGAAGGCTCATTTATTATGTGTACAGTGTTTAGCACTGTGCTCTGATTCACCAATACAAAACCGTAGCAGAAATATTTTGAACTTCGTCTCTTTCTAGATAAGCTTTCTGTTATTGTTAAGAAAACAAGTTGCTGCTGCTTCTGTTTTTCCTTCTCAATCAAACACTCCTATTTGAAACAGTTGGTGAATGGGCCTGTAAAGTTCAAGTGATCTCCGAATCTTTTAATACTTTGCATTAAATAAGGAGATGCAAGTATATTATAAAGAACTTTGCTCACTAGCTTGATAGCTTTGCAGTAATCTGAAAACCGTGCATAAGTTTGCTGGAAAGCTGGATACATTCTGGGTCTTGGGATGTCCAGAAGAACCAGGCAGGCACCTACTATGCCTTGAGTGTGATTTAGCTCTTTGAGTTGGTTTAAAATTGTAATTTGCTTTCAGTGCTGAAACAGGCCTGTCTGCACCGAAAGCTGACAGGTTGATATTTTTTATTAGTGTTTGGTTATGTAGTCTGTAAAACTTGAGAGTTGATTGGTGTGCTGTGCTTTAGTTCATGGCTTGTATCAAATTTTAATCAAATTAAAAAACCAAACAACCCACAACACTGAGGTTTCTCAAGGCTCACTGCTGTAACTCCTGCTACTTGGTTCAAAATAAAGATGCAACACAACGTTTGACTTTCGAGTGTTGGTGGTGTTTCTGACACAAAAATATTGCTCTGCTCTAGGGTATTTCTGAGGGACCGTTGATGCATTATTGGTGCTTTAGAAGTGCTAGGGGTCTGTGCTCTGTGACATACCTGTGGACATCTGTAAAAGCATTTTGTATGTGTCTTGCTTAAATTTCTGGAGCCATGTGTGAGACACAGGTGGGACAAAAAGTCAGAGTTTCGACTGGGTGACTTTGAGAAACATCCCTTGATTTGGCAGCAGTTCTGGTTTCTGTATGTCAGACTGTTTTGTATAATTTCTTCTACAAACCAAATTTGGACCCAAAACCTCCCTCATGAAGGTAGAGAGAATGCGTGTCTCTGTCGGTGTATCCTCAGCTGGAGTACCAGGAGATCCACCTGTAATGGCATGAATACATCAGAACTGTTGTAGACCACAGAAGTACTCTGTCCGTGCCTCCTATTTCTCATCTGGGATGTGGAATGATGTTTCTCTTTTTTGTTTGTTTGGTTTTGTTTTACTTGTTTGGAGTGTAAGATCTTTAGGCTGTTTCTTACTGTGTGTATGGCCCAAGATCTGGCACAATAAGATCATCTTGACTGCAACCATTAGATTATGTTGTAATGTGAATATTTACATGTGAAAAGCTGTCTAAAATACTCTGCGGTGTAAGAAAGGCTGGATTTCCATCTGTAATTTGCCACCCTTTTCCATTACCTGTCCTGTCCCCATCTCCCTGTTACCTGTCCCTAAATTTGATGATGTGTTTTCAACAGGCTATAGCCTTATTCACTGGGCAGGGTGGTTGGGGCTTATGTCTGTGGCCACAAGTGGTGCACAAAAGCCTGCTGAGGGTGGATTGCAAGAGGGGAAGGAATAGTAGGGTGGATAACGCTGTTCAGTGTTGCCTTGAGACAGCTGCGATGAATTCCTGCCTCCGCCACCAAGTTTCTTGCGAGCGACTCAGCAGTTGTGTCACACCAAACCTTTGTGGCCAGCCACTAACTGCTTGTTCCACATTTTGCCCAAGTTGAGGTGCCCAGGCACAAGTTCAGAATTTTTACAACTGCAGTTGGTCCCCTATGGGTACAATTTGGATGGAAAACACTGCAAAAGGGCTAAGTACCTTAAAAAAAAAGAAAAAAATCAAGGTCTAGGTTACTTAAGTTGAAGATCCAAGATGAGCCAACGCTTTTGACAAGTCTTTTAATCTCTCTATGCTCCTGTTTTCTGCCTGTAAATTGGAGATGCCAGATGAGGGCTCAGAAGATAAAGTTGTTAGTGTTGTGAAGCAGACACTCGGTGGCTAAATAATGGAAAAGATGATGAAGTAATTGGTAGTCAACAGAGCCAAGCAGTGAGCACAGCCCATTTTGTGCACTGGTTTAGTTTGCGTAAACACCCCTACTTTTGGCATTCTCCAACTTCTTACTGCTTTGCTTCACAATCTTAACATTTAAAAGGTGTTCTTAAAGGTTACTTCCTAGCTTTTAAAATAGCAAACTAAAAAAACCAAGAAATTCCACCGTACTGAACCACAACACTTCTCGTATGAGTCATCGGCGTGTTGGGACCTCAAACTGCAGTGTTGGCTTCTGCTGCCCGAGCCGTGCAGCAGCCTGATGGACCCTGCCTGGACCAGGCGCTGGAGAGGGGAGAAGGAGATGGGTCCCATCGCTGAGTGTTCATCATCGTGTGGCAGAGTTTTGGGCTGGTGCTGAGAAAGCCCCTGCTTTCTCAGCCGGGAGGGAACGCTCACTGCGGGGAAAAGTCTCCAGAGAGACCTTAATGTCATTGTTTCACAGACTGGTGTAAAGAGGAGGAGGAATTGAAGAGGTCCTACCTTCTCCCACCTCAACGCTGGTTCCCTGCGGCGTGTTGCCCTCCTCGCTCATGTATTTGCTGGTCCTGCGGTGGAAGAAGGAGCAGTACCCAGAGTGAGTTACCAGAGCATCGTGGATGGGAGGTGGTTTTTTTTGCTGGGTTGGTTGTTCCCCTGGTGCTGTGCATCCACCCCGCTGCTGCGGTGGCCGCCTGGGAGGGGAGGGACAGCATGGAGGCAGGGTTCTGGGGAGCCTCTTGCTTGAACTCATCGTGAAACTATGTTGGAAACTGTTTGCCATGTGTCAGCAGCAGGCTTTCTGAGCTTCTTGAATTGTCCAAAGGCAGGTATAGATTCCCAGAAAGATAGCAGAAGGTGCCCGCCTTATTTCTGGTTCCTTTGCTTTTCCCTCCATAACCCCCTCCCCTTCTCTTAGCAAATTTCAAAACTGCGAAGTGATAAGAGGTTTGTAATGGATGATTTTCAGAATTTTAGCGTGCTCGTAAACCAGCAAGAGACTGAACTAGTCTCAGTTGACACCGTCATTTGAAAAAAAAAATCAAGCGCTTCCTCTAAAATTTGGCGTAGAACTTTCATTCAGAATGAACAAAATTTGGCTAAGATTTAAGCAATTAAAAAGAGGTCCAGAAAACCAAATTTGATTGTAGCTGGCACAGTCAGCTTTGAATATATATTTATAGATTTCTGTATATGCATGCTAAATGCACATACAGGAAATGTATATGCATATAAATGCATATACAGGAAGAGAAAATAGGGATAATACAAAGAGAGTTTGCTGGATACAGACAGTGACAAAAATAGGTGACAAAAGAGAGAGTTAAAATAACATGAAGAAGAGGGAAAAAAGAATGGTATTCCAACTAACAGGATTGCAAAAGAATACCTGCAAGAATGACCGTTGATGAAAGAAAAAGAATGGAGGAAGCAGCTTAGTTCTGTGCTCTTGATAGTAGAAAACAGCAAATTGTCTTTCTTATGGAATATAGAATCATTATAATTGCAGTTAGAATCAGACTTGAACTGAAAGAAATTGGTGAAACCTGAGGTTAAAGAAAAATGGAATTCATACAGAAATGAAAAAAGCAGCAATTGAACAGGACTGGAAATCTATGTATAAGCCAGTTAGATTTCTTTCAGAATACAGTGAAGTGGAAGCAGTGCAGATCTATAATCCTGCCTCACCTTTACATCCTGTATCTTCTTTATTGCTAATTGAGCGTGGAGTAAGAAATGCTACAGAATTTGGCATTTGCTGAAGCATGAACTCCACTGTGTTAGGAAGGTCATGAAAAAAAAATTGCAGCTGCGAAAAGAGAAACGGAAAGTAAGATTTCAGCAGTTGCTCTTTCAAACATTTCTATTAAAGCAGGCAGTTGGCTCTGGGATGAAACTGAGTCCACTCTTTGAGCCCAGGAGCAATTGCATTTTGTAAGACTCCAGCTTTCTTATGAGCATTTAGAAAGGTATGGCTTTTTGTTTGTTGTGTTTTTAAAATCCTTGCGTCTCAGAATAGATTTTTGGTTTGCTGTGAACGTATATGTAAGGTGGCTGGTTTACTGTGGGAGATGTATGTGTCTGTGTGTGTGAACTTACTTAAAAAAAACAACCAACCAAGCAAAATCCCAACAGCTATTGCTTATATGTAACCATTAGAAATTAACGTGTAAATAGAAAAATCGTGAATAGGCTTGAGAGGTTTGCTTAAGAGAGCCTCCTTGCAGGTTTGTGGTCATCTACAGCTTAAATGGCTGTTATGAAGAAGGTGAAGGCTTATAGTCTCACTTTTTTCTTAATTGTCTTTTTCCTGTTTTACCACTATGCGGGTTTCTCTGTTGGCACTCCTGTTGGTATTTTCAAACTTCTGGAAGGCATCGGAGGACTAGGCTGTGCAGTTGTAGGTCTTAGGTCTAGCCCAATAAACTTTCCCAGAGCATTGTTGTCATTTAAAAATACCCTGTTACAATGAGTTCTCTTTAATTAAAAAGGTACCAGTGGAATTTGCAGCACTGTATTGGTTCCTTCAGACTGTTCACTGTGCCTGTGTTAGGATGCTGGGAAGGGTTTGTGCCATTAATGCTGATCTGATGCTCCAGGTGAGGGTCCTTGTGCTGTGGGAAGAATTCCTGGTCCATGGCAGGGCAGATGGATGAGCAGGACCTTGTGCAGGGAGCTCAGTAACAACACACACTTGTCTGCGTGTTCGGGGGTAGTGTCTGTTTTCACCTAACCCTTTGCGAAATTGCTGAAGAGGTAAAAAATTGTTTTCTTTCTAACCACAATCACTCATTGTCACCAAAACAGTCACCCTGTAGCCCTCCTTGATGTACTCGGGAAGCTTAGGAAAAAAAAAAAAAAAAAGACTCTATTTTGGGGGTAATGTTGTTTTGGTTTGGTTTTTAATCCTGAAATTACTCCCTTTCGTGGCATGTATTTTGAGGTTTTTATTAAGATCAGGCAATTTGGTTTCAAATTGCGAACTGCTGTAAATATTTATGCTGGAAAATGTAAAGGAGACTTCCTAGAGCTACGCGTTTTCAAAGAGCTAGTTATACCAGTATGTATTTCCTAGACTTGTTCATTCTTTGGTATGTTGGACTCCTGTAGTAAGCATTTTAGCTCAATAATGGCTTATGAGATTATGGGGAGAGAAACTCAGGCTCTTACCCAGTTGGAAAAGTAAGATTTTCCTTGCTATGTTAAAGCAGGCGAATAAACTGGACTTTACATTTCCAAATCAGATGAGTTGGGCAAAGTGCAGGCTTCCCCTTATTTGTTTAAGTGTATCATAACTCAGAATATTTACATTAAGAAGAAGGGGGGGGAGCACCCCCTGTGGCAGATGTTTGGAGCCCTTGGTGACGTGTTTGTGGGGGAAGTGGGGAGGCTCTCGTTCCCTAGGCGAGGCACGGCTGTTTGTTTTTGTACAAAAACTTTTTCAATGCCCTGCAAGCTTCTGTCCGAAAGAGGCTGCTGGGAGAATATGCTGATTTAGCAATTCCTGTATGACCTTTGGTGGCGGGCTGAATGAAGGAGAAGTGTCTTTGTAACCATCCACAGGTTGTGAAATGCGAAAGGAGGGGTTTTTGTTAAGGCAGAGCTGAAAAAGTCCGTGACCTTGAAAATTTCATTTTAAGATTTTGTTGATGCTCATATGATTGAATCTGGTTAATGCAGCACGGTGGTTTTAGCATCTTCGGTAGCCAGCAAAAGCAGCGAGTAGGGAGCGTGTGTTCATCTGTTAAATACCCTGTGAATTTTTTCCCCCCTGAATTCCCCTGCGGTTAGAAGGTAAGTTCCCACCAAGTCAGTCCCCTTGGTAAATCCCGGGGCAGACCTCCCGGGCTGAAATGGCAGGAGGTTTGGAAGGAGCCACAGGGAGGAGAAGCAGCGGTTCAGCAGGAGCCTGTGGTGCAGCGTCGCTACAAAACAACCCCGTGTGTGTTCCTAGTTACCTATGAAATATGTGGCTTGTGCCCTGCCAGCCGTGGTAGTCATGGAATATCCAGAGCACACCGCATGATTTCCTCTTGATTTTTGGCCTAATTTCGGGGTGGGGGGGGGGAAAGAAGGGTAAGTTAACGTTGAACCGTATTGTTTTTAACCATTGAGCTCTCCTAAGTCAGATGGGAGGTTGGAGGCTTGTTCTTTCCCTAAAGGTTGTGATGCAGACACAATACGGAGCCAGGAAAATGAAAGAAAGTGTTTAGAAATGACATTTAAACTGTAATTTCTGCGGTGGTTTTGCTATTCTGTTTCTTATAAGGAATCTCTAGCTGCTGTGCTTTTTGAAGAGGAATGCGTGTCTCTTGCAGAGTAGATATACAGATTTTTACCTTTCTCCCCCCTTCAGGATTTTGTACAGAAAGAAGTATTTCCGTCCTAGATCTGTGAGGGAAACACAGTGGTGTATGTATTAATGGGGTTTGAAACATTATACTCTGATTTTTGTGAGCAAAGTGCGTAATGTTCAAAAACGTTCCTGTAATTCTCAGTTGTCAAGAGGCAGAGCTAAGTATGTATACTGTTATAGTTTAGCTAAGTACGTATATTATAATAGTTTAGCGCCTTGAATCTTAAAAGAGAATTGCCTTCTTCAGTGTAAGGGCAATGCTTTTGTGGCTAAGAGGCAGTTTAGCAACTGTGAAAGCACTAAACTTTATTTCAGGGGTGGTTTAATAATTTTCAAACAAATCTTTGTGTGGCATACACAGAGGGCTTGCTGAATTTGTCTCAAGTATTGCATGCATTTGTTAGGGGGCTGGGATAGTACCCTTTTTCGTGATAACAATTTGTGGAACATTTAATTATATGTTCCCCTGGTGTTTTTTTCTTTAAACTAAATATATTTCTGTGTCAATAAAATTTTACATTTATTTTAGAACACTGTGTGGATATATTATGTCCAGGTCAGTACGTTTCAAAATGGTGTTTTCTTTACATGCTTTTTCCTTTTGTTTTCTTTAAATTCTAGAATACAACCTGAGTGAGTGACGTAGCTTCTGGAGATACTAGAGGAATTGCTGCTCTGGTACAGGACGATATTCCTTCTGACTTGTGAAATGCAGTGTGTCTGAAGTTCCTCTTCAGGGGGGTTTGGTAGGGGGGTTGCTGTAGAACCTGGCTGCTCACAGACAAGAACCCTGTTGCTGCAGTGGTAGAAAGACAGAGCCAGTTTTTGTTGTCTGGCTGCTAACCCTGGAGAAATGGTCAATCTTTTCTCTCTCAGGCTCATTAATTAGGCTAGTCGTTAGGCTTGCTCAGAAGCCCTGCAGTCTTAACAGTTTCTGTTTTTCTGAAGCTTCCAGTTGTCTTGCATATGCAAGAGGGCTGTCGAGGGGAACTCTGAAGTTCCCTGATGGAGCAGGTTGGGATACCCTGCTTGGGGCCTCTGCCGGAGGGATCCCGGAGCGAGCGGGCACCGCGGGCAGATCGGGACACGTCCCAGAGCTCATGGGAAGTTCTCACAGGCATCCAGGCGGGATACGGCCCCAGCACAAAACAGGATTTAATTATTAATGTTTTTCCAGTATCTTATGGCTGGCTTCTATCACGCCTTTTCAAAAATAAATGAATAGCACACTCCTCTTAAAG